TAGTTGTGGTTGATTTTTCTACTCCAGATTTTTTACTGTAACATATCTGTATAATTGGATATATAAAAAATGCCCTTACAGGAATATGGCTACAATCGAAACAATTCAAATGAAGCTGTTACTTCCCCTGTTGGGCAACGCTTCCCAGGAATAATGGATTATCAGCAAGCTGGTGCGAGACAGTTTCCCATCGAAAGGAAATGGGCTCTTGGACTCCAGGTTGGTTCGTTTTCTCATGCACATAAGTGGACTTTTCTCTTTCTCTCTCTCTCTCTCTCTCTCTATATATATATATATCTTTTTTTTTTGAATAAGTAAATCATTGGACATGCATACTTATTGATTAAATTAAAAAAGGTGCAAAAAGGAGGTTTTGTTAATATGTGAAGAGAGGGAAAGACTATATTAAAGAGCTCGGTTCTTATTTTCAGATAGAAATTTAATCAAGGTTCTGATAAGCTTTGGGATCATCTTGTTAATTCCATTGATAATTATGCACTATTATGCACGTATAGCCTCTGCTAATTGAATGGGTTCTTTGTTGGCCTTTATTCTGTTCAACAGTATGCTATAGATAATTGTCGTTTTGGTTTTTGCTGCAGTCTCGGGCACATCCACGTGAGATAATGACTGAAGTTCTGAAAGCTCTGCAAGAACTGAACGTATGTTGGAAAAAGATTGGTCAGTATAACATGAAATGCCGATGGATTCCTAGCGTACCTGGTCATCATGAAGGCATGGGTATTAATTCTATGCACGGGAGTCAGTTCTTTGGAGATGATTCAACCATTACTGAGAATGATGGGATCACTAAATTAACAAATGTGGTCAAGTTTGAAGTTCAGGTAATCAAACTTTTCATGGACCATACATCTAGTTTCTGTGAAATTCTGTTTATACAGGAGTACATTAATGATGCTTTGGCCTTAAGACAGTGTTTAAAAGCATGTGTATAACGAAAAAGAAGAATGTTATAGTAGAATTGTCAATGTTAATGACATCAACGAAGAAGTGGGTGAGAGAGAAGTCTGCACTTGCAATAATGAAATATTTTGCACATGATTGGTGGAAGTCTCATTTGTTTAATGCCTGTATCGTAAATGCTATTGCGTTTTTTAAGTGCATATCTACATCTATTTTATCAAATGGAGGGGCAGGGATTTCAGCAACTACTGATCTGTATGTATCCCACATTTCTAGCTTGCTTTTGCTTGGTGCTTGCCAATGTGTTTTAGATACAAATATTCACAGAATTATAGCCTGTTTGGCCAAGCTTTTTTTGGGCCAAAAGTGCTTTTTTGGGCCAAAAGTGCTTTTAGCCAAAAATTGAGGTGTTTGGCCAAGCTTTTAGAAGGAAAAAGGTGCTTTTGAGGAGAAGCAGAAAAATGTAGCTTCTCTCCAAAAGCACTTTTCTGAGAAGCACTTTTGAGAAAAATACACTTAAAAGCAGTTTTCAAAAGCTTGGCCAAACACTAATTACTGCTCAAAAGTGTTTTTCAAATTAATTAGCCAAACACAAACCGATTCTCACCAAAAGTACTTTTTTGAAAAGCACTTCTCAAAATAAGCAGATTTTAGAAGTTTGGCCAAACAGGCTATTAATCTAATAGCCTGTTTGGCCAAGTTGGCCAAAAGTGTTTTTTTTTCCCGCCAAAAGTGCTCTTTTACCAAAGTTAAGGTGTTTGGCCAAAAGGAAAAAAAAGTGCTTTTGAGTAGAAGCAGTTTTGAGAAGTAGAAAAAAGTAACTTATTTCCAAAATCACTTTTTTGAAAAGTATTTTTGAGTACTTTTTAAAAGCTGGGCCAAACACTACTTGCTGCTAAGTGTTTTTCAAATTAATTAGCTAAATACAAACTGCTTCTTACCGAAAGTACTTTTTTGAAAAGCACTTTTGAGAAAGACACTTTTCAAAATAAAGCACTTTTTAGGTTGGTCTTCAACATTGGAATGAATAAAATTTGGTCCGTATGTAATCTGAAGATTAAGAACTAGATGGATGTTAGTAGGTGATTTCTTCACATTTGCCTAAAGCCTAATGGCGTGCATAGTTATCCTATACCTATGCTAGATGTACCGGCAGAATAGTCGATTCTATCGTTTGGGTCTGCTTTTCTTGAGTCTATATTCTTGACTACAGCTTCTATGATTTTTGAAATGTTAATTGATATTCGAGTTCCTTTGGTTGCAGCTTTACAAAACTAGAGAGGAGAAGTACCTGCTTGACCTTCAGAGGGTTCAGGGTCCACAGTTCCTCTTCTTGGATCTCTGTGCTGCTTTTCTTGCTCAGCTTCGAGTCCTTTGAAGTCTACGAAATAAGGAGCTAACTTAGAAGACTATCGATGTTTTCCAGAAAAGCTCGTGCCTGTATATAATTGGTATACCAGCTCAGTTACTGCATTTGTCTGTTAACAAATTCCACCCTGCTTGGTCAGAGGTGCCTAGCAACTCTTTTTGTTGATTCGCTAGGAGTTCTAGCTACTCTTCTTTCGTGACATGTTTCTTCTCAACATTGTCAGTGTCTATGGAGTTTCAGTTACCTACACTTTCCACTTAAGGATTGAACTAAAGATTCCATTTTGCAAATGAGCAGTCTCTTTGACCCTTGTATTATTAGGATTGAATTTACTTGTTCCTTCTCTTTTTCCTGATTATTGTTTGACATCCTGAGGATTTCTTTTCCTCTTTTTTCATATTTTTTTTTGGGGAATTAGCTAATGCAACAGTATGTACCATGCGATTTAGTGAAAGGAATTGAAAGTGGGAAAGTAGGATTTAGTACATTTGGAACAAATTAAGCTGAAATTTTAAGGAATAGAGAGACGGTGAGGGCTAAAAATCCCTCATTTACTTTAATGACAAACCTTGATTACCCAAATGGAACGTGTCATGTAAATATTTCTGGAAATAGAAAGTGAAGTTCAAAGCTACTTCATTGTACTTTGACTAGTTAAAGTACAGGATACATGTTTGGAGTATCATATACTCTTTCTAATGCTTTACAAATCAGGTTGTACTTAAAAATATTATTCTTGTCAGTGAAAAAGTGAAAAGAGAAATAAAATTTCCTGCTTCAATCATCTCTGGTCACTCATTTGTACTTTCTAACGCCACTAATACTAGTAACAACCACAAAATAGTCGCAAGCATAACTAACAACCAGTGCTGTGCCTCTTCTTTAAGTGGCACTCAACATTAGTCTTTAGATTTCCTTTCTAATTTGGGAATCCATTTTAACTTTCTCTATATCAATTAATGGTAATTAAGTTTGAATAAATGGAATTCCTCAACACTCCATTTGATGATTCAAACATATCTGAAGGAAGTAAAGTAGGAGGGAAAATAGATAAAAGGAAGCAAATTGAGGGTGAAGTTAAAGAACACAAATCCAAGAACCTTATTCCTGAGAGAAAGAGGCGTCAAAAACTTAATGAAAGGCTTCTTGCATTGCGCTCATTGGTCCCAAATATTACAAATGCAATGATCAAAACTCAAAACCCTTCATTCTTTATATAATTTTCAAGTGACAGTTTCCTAACGAATGGATTTTAACCATTTTCTAAAATCTTATATTCTTATCTGATTACAGATGACCAAAGAAACCATAATTACTGACGCTATCACTTACATTAGAGAGCACCTTATATCTAGAAATGGAGGCACCTTATATAGAGGAATTGGAGATAAAAAATGAAGAGATTATTGATATTGTAGAGGTAAAGCAAAGTTACAATCTTTATTGCTTAAGTTAAAAGTGTAATTTCCTAATCTACTACTACTAGACATTAAAACAATTTTTTTTTTCTTTCTAAAATAGCCTGAAGTTGAAGTGGCTCACATTGGTACAAGTAGGCTTTGGATAAAGATAGTTTGCCAGAAGAAAAGAGGTGGATTTACTAAACTGATGGAGGCAATGAATGTTCTTGGATTTGATCTCAATGAAACCTCACTGCCTCAAAAGGAGCACTTCTTGTTACTTCATCTGCGGAGGTAGGAAAACATATTGTTAAAAAAGTAAGTTTTTTTAGCAGCATTTGTTAACTATTACCTGAAGATAAATCAAGATTCTGTAATAGTACGAAAAAAAATATCTTGCTTAGCATTTTATACTGTGGGGCTGCAATATAAGAACATAAACAATCTGTTTATCTCTATGTATTTCTGTTCATCAAATCAGAAAGATGTTGCTGGAGATTATCCGCGGAACCTAGAAAAATGAAAATCCAAGCAGGAATTTGTTAGCTATGAATGCCAAAAGGATTCAATTATATTTTGTGCTCAAAAAAGAAAAATGAAAATCCTTTGTATCCAAATTGTCTTAAAATTAAGTTGTGTGAACTCTTGTTTTCAGCAACATATCCTATGTTTCTAGTTTATCATATACTAAAACTAAGGGTTAATAGACTGTTTAATTCAGTAACAAGATTAATTTGAGATACCAATAGGGCAAGGAGAGACAAATCTTCTTGAGAATCCGTTGGGGTCTCCAAACTATTGAATAGGACCTTAAAGAAAGATAGTGAAGTCATATATTTTTACCTTAATTTCCTTCTGTCTTTCTTTCTATTTCAAAGCTTGTGCTTTGGTTTAGATCACTGCTCACTAGAGGGGAGTGGTATGGAACTATGGAACATTGGTCCGTCCTGAAAAGCTGAGTTTTTCAGTTCACTCCCTTGTGCGGTTGGCCTTTTTGTTCCAATAAGTTTCCTGTCTCCTCATGGAATATATGGACATACCCGAGCAAGTTTCATTTGCAATATTTAGACAATGAATTAACACAAGATAATTAGTTTGCAGAATATGGAGAATGAATTAATTAAATATTTGACGATAAGGAAAGTTCCACATTTTCTCTTCCCTTTTGGAAAACATAAAGAGTTAACACAAGTTTTAACTTGGAAGAGATCAAAACTTGGACATCAACACACATTCAACTGCTGAAACTCATTGTTCTGGTTAGTCGTATATCAACATTTCTATATATAAATATTGTTTTGCTGAGATCAACTTCTAGTAAAAGAAATAAAAGGAGGGGGGACACAAAATATTCTGCCAATTTTTTCAAGTAACAAAGCAAATTGGTGGGAGATCAATAGAGCTCCATATGGACAATTCACTCTCATAAGCATTCTCCGTCAACGAAAATGGCACTGCTTCTTCAACATTGCATTTTTCATTTTTCTCCTTCTCCTCCTGGTTCTTTTTGTATGCATTTCGGAGTGTGGATAATTGCTCAGACGTTTCCCATTGCGTTGCTCGAGCAGATTTCATCTTCAACTTCAAACATTCTGTAATCCCATTAAATGCATAAAGGGAAGCCGAAAACTTCCTCTCGTAATTCATCCTCCTCATTGCCTCACTTACCGCTGATGTTTCTTCCCCATAAACCATCCCATGTTCCATTGTCTCTGTTGATAGCTCTTCAGCTATCTCAAATGGCGAATAGTAACACGATCCAATTTCATCAAGAAAGTTGAAGTCAATTGACTCCATATCTTCTAATACATCAGTATTAATTGCCTCTCCTATCTCCTCTTCTTCGTCTCCCACTTCAATAATCTCTTCGTTCGAGCTTTGAAAGTTATTGACAGGCTGAATAAAATCACCCCAGCTAGTAACATTAGCGATCGTGTTGTTATCAGTTATGTGATCATCAGGGTAATTAAGATATTCAGTGTATAGTGAATCTGAAAAATCAGCTACATTTTCTCCGAATTTTTCTTGCTGATTCTGCTGCTGGCGACCAATTTCAGGCACGGAACAAGATTTGGACGAGTCATCATCACCAGCAGCAGCTAAGGAATTATTTCTTTCTTTGAGCCTGGTAAGAAGAATATTAGTGATTTTGGGAGGCAAAGCTGAAGTGGAAGAAGAAGAAGAATTAGATAAAGAACAAGGCCAGAAATTTGTGCGAGTATTGGCTCCACGGAGCAAGCAAGCAGCTTCATCGTACGCTCGTGCTGCTTCCTCAGCAGTGTCAAAAGTTCCAAGCCACACTCTTATTTTCTGTATAGTGTCTTTTATTTCAGCAACCCATCTTCCTGATGGCCTTTGTCTAACCCCTACATATCTCTTTCGGGCTCGCTGAGCTCCGCTTTGTGTGGCTGCACCATCTGCTTCCTTTACCATCTCGTTCCAGGCTGCTGTATTCCCTTGATCATCATGAGATTCATGAGTTTTCGCTAATCCTTCAGCTTTTCTCTTCCTAACCATTGTTTTGTGTATGTATTTGTATGTTTAATTTGTTATAGAGACGAAAGGTAAGAGAGCGAATGAGATTAGATATTCTACTAGTCCTAATCGTAAATGATGGATACTAGGGGTTGTGTGTATCGACTCGTGCAACAAACAAGAATGGTGAATTGTGAAGGTGTTGGATGTGTGCTTGTGTAAGTAGCTAGGTTTTGTACACAACTAAGTTGGGATGTGAATGACATATTTATACAGGGGAGAAAGAGGATTCTGTCAAATGGCAAATTATTAGAGTTGAAAGGTGGTGCTTTTCCTATTTGTTGAGACACATTTGTTTTATTGATTTGGCTTTCTAAAAGCAACATATGGAGGCCTCTGTTCTGATATATAGAAAACAAGAAACAAAAGGAATTAGAGAAGAGGGTTGTTAAAATATTAAGCTTAATTAATGTAAGTATTTAATGCTAGATAGTTTGACCCAAAACACCTTATGATTGTTTCCTCTTCTATGCTTTTTCTCTCTCGATGTTTTGTAGTACAAATATCTGTTATGAACTGTATTTGTAAAATAATTCTGGAGAAGATAAAATAACATATAAACAGAAATATAAAAGAAACAAAATTTAATCTGAGCCCACTGAATTCACAGTGTTTTCTTAAGGAATTTAATCCCCTCCTAGTACTCAATGTTGTGGATTATTTCCTCCCAGGATAGAATGAATTACACACTGGTGTAGCGATACTTCAAACACCAGTGTTTCAGCGAACACAAAGAACGATAGCAAATCACACTTACTGTTGCTTTGTTTGTAGTTAAAAGTTAAAACAATGCAGAAGAAAGGAGGAAAAGTCAGAAATTCGTATTGAAAATCTGAGAGAATGAACTGGTATTTATAGCCAATGTTGAGCTCAAACTGAAGAGGTGCAACTCTTCAAAACTTAAGAGGTGCAACTCTTCAAATCCGAAGAGGTGCAAACTGTTTCTCCATATTGTAAATGTCGTTTACAAAAAGCGAAGGGCATATACTATTCCGTTGGATTTAATATTAATATTCCGTTTACAAAAAATCGGATATTTAATAACATTTCTGTTATCAATCAATCGATCATTTGACCAAATCCGAAGCCGAAGCCGAGCCGAGCGAGCGAGCGAGCGACGACGCGAGGCTTGCCTTCTTCTTAACTCTTTAAGAGCTAGAAGAAGTGCAATTGTATATATACCCATCAAAATCTTTTCCTCTTCCAATATTGGACAATGTTCCTTTGTCAAGGAGGGAAACTCAAATATTTTCAATTTCCCTCAATTTCCCATTCACCCTCTTTTAAGCTACATTTAAGCTTAAAAACCGAATAATTTTAAGTTATATTTAAGCTTAAAAACCCAACAATCCCCCACATGAATGGGTAATGGCTATATTACGGAAATATGCATGAAAAACTGTGTGATTCGCAAGCAAGGATTAATTGCATCTGGATAAGTAGGTTTTCCTTTGAACTTTCCGTAGTGAACTTATGTTGGATATACTCGGTCAATCGGTAGATATGATATCTTTGAACCGTCTAACTTTGGTGTATACCTAGACAACCATAAGTCACACAACCAACCCTTAACCGTCTTTGGCTCTCATTGTTGTGCTCGTTTTAGCCATGAACACCGCCTGGTTTAATAAGTGCGTAGAGAATTAGCCTTACAAAATTTTCCTTGAAGCGGCTTACACTTCACACTTACATAGGTGATTCCTAAACGTGTCATCCCGTAGATACACTATTTGATATACCGCGTATCAAATTTAGAAATCATTAAAAAGCCTTAATGATTTATCCTTGGTACTGAACATTGTCTCATCACGAGAATGGACTAAAATTTTATTTGACAATGTTGAACCGTCATTAATGACTTTGTTTGATCTCCTTGAACCTAGATCTTGGGATCTCCAGTCTTCTAGGTAGAGTTACCGCCACAATGGCTTGTTCTCGGCCATAGTCCCATTCCCCTTGATGATTTCTCAACTACCTCTCTAGTTAGGCCTTTTATAAGTGGACCCGACACATTATCGCTTGACTTTACATAATCAATCGTGATAATTCCTCTAGAGAGTAATTGCCTAACGGTTTTATGTCTTTGTCGTATATGACAAGATTTACCGTTAAACATCACGCTCTCAGCCCTTCCAATTGCCACTTGACTATCGCAATGTATGCATATTGGTGCCAATATTTTGGGCCAAAATGGAACGTCTTCCAAGAAATTCCGGAGCCATTCAGCTTCTTCACCGGCTTTATCTAAGGCTATAAACTCAGCTTTCATTGTAGAGCGGGCAATACAAGTTTGCTTGGACGACTTCCAAGATACCACTCCTCCACCAATAGTGAATACATATTCACTTGTGGACTTAGAATCAGTTGAATCGTTGATCCAATTTTTATCACAGTATCCCTCAATCACCGCAAGATATTTACTGTAGTGCAAAGCAAAGTCCTGGGGTATGTTCTAAATATCCCAAAACTCGTTTCATTGCCATCAAATGAGATTGACCTGAATTGCTCGTGTATCGACTCAATTTACTTATAGCACATGTTATATCTGGTCCTGTACAATTCATGATATACATTAAGCATTCCAACACACGGGCATAATCCAATTGTAATATGCTTTGGCCTTTGTTCTTTGCTAATGCAAGATTCACGTCAATTGGAGTCTTTACAACTTTAAACCCTAAGTGCTTGAATTTTCCAAGTAATGTCTTAATATAATGAGATTGTGACAATGCCAGACCTTGAGGAGTCTTATTGATCTTAATCCCGAGAATTAAATCAGCAACTCCCAAGTTTTTCATATCAAACTTGCTAGTTAGCATACGCTTAGTCGCATTTATGTTGGCAATATCATTACTCATTATCAGCATATCATCCACATATAAGCAAACAATGACTATGTTATTTGGAACATTTTTAATGTACACACATTTATCACATTCATTTATCTTAAAACCATTTGACAACATTGTTTGGTCAAATTTCGCATGCCATTGTTTGGGTGCTTGTTTTAGTCCGTAAAGAGACTTAACAAGTCTACATACCTTCTTTTCTTTACCTGGAACCACAAACCCTTCAGGTTATTTCATGTAGATTTCTTCCTCCAAATCTCCATTTAAGAAGACCGTCTTAACGTCAATTTGATGAATTTCAAGGCTATAAACTGCAGCTAATGCTACTAGCATTCGTATGGACGTAATTCTTATAACTGGAGAGTATGTATCAAAATAATCAAGACCTTCTCGCTGTCTATACCCTTTGACTACAAGTCTTGCCTTATATTTATCAATAGTGCCATCATCTTTCATTTTCCTCTTAAAAATCCATTTAGAACCCAAAGGTTTATTTCTAGGAGTAAGATCAACCAATTCCCATGTATGGTTGTTCAATATGGATTCTATTTCACTATTGTCTGCCTCTTTCCAAAACAATGATTCCGAAGAAGACATAGCTTCTTTAAATGTTCGAAGCTAATTTTCCAATAAGAAAGTCACAAAATCTGGTCCAAATGAAGTAGACGTTCTTTGACGTTTACTACATCTTGGATCCTCCTGATTAAATGTACTTTCTTTTGTTTCTTCCCGAGGTCATTTAGATCCTTCACCAATTGACTCACATTCCTTTTTATATGGGTATATATTTTCAAAGAATTCAGCATTATCTGATTCTATAATCGTATTATTATGAATGTCGGGATTTTATGATTTATGAACCAGAAATCGATATGTTTTACTATTGGTCGCATATCCTATGAAAACACAATCAACGATTTTCGGTCCTATTTTTACTCTTTTGGGTTTAGGATCTTGCACTTTTGCCAAACACCCCCACACTTGAAAATAATTCAAGTTGGGCTTCCTTCCTTTACATTTTTTATATGGAATGGATTGTGTTTTGCTATGGGGTACTCGGTTTAGTATCCGATTAGCCGTAAGAATGGCTTCCCCCCACAATTTCTGTGACAAACCAGAACTTATCAACAATGTGTTCATCATCTCCTTTAATGAACGATTCTTTCTTTCCGCAATCCCATTGGATTGGGGCGTGTAAGGGGCCGTTATTTGATGAATTATTCCATATTCTAAACATATTCGCCACCCCTATCACTTCTTATCATTTTAATTTTCTTGTTAAGTTGTGTTTCAACTTTATTTTTGTATTGCCTGAATGCATCTATTGCTTCATCTTTACTATTAAGTAAGTAAACATAGCAATATCGAGTACAGTCGTCAATAAAAGTTATGAAATACTTCTTTCCACCACGAGATGGTACTGAATTCATGTCGCAAATATCTGTGTGAACTATGTCTAAAGGATTTGAATTCCTTTCAATTAACTTATAAGGATGTTTAACATACTTAGATTCCATACATATTTGACATTTTGATTTGTCGCATTCAAACATAGGCAATACTTCCAAATTAATTATTTTCCACAAGGTTTTATAATTGACATGACCCAAACGTATATGCCATAATTCATTTGACTCAAGTAAGTAAGAAGAAGCTGAAATTTTATTATTATTCTCAATAACCATTACATTCAGCTTGAAAAGGCCCTCAGTGAGGTAACCTTTTCCTACAAATATTTCATTCTTACTTATTACAACCTTATCGGATGCAAAAACACACTTAAACCCATTATTAACAAGAAGTCCAGCAGAGACTAAGTTCGTTCTAATCTCGGGAACATGAAGGACGTTGTTCAAGGTCACCACCTTACCAGAAGTTATTTTCATAAATATCTTTCCAGATCCTTCAATTTTGGCCATTGCAGAATTTCCCATAGAAAGTGTCTCTTCGGGTCCAACAAGAGCATATGTAGCAAACACTTCTCTAACAGTACAAACATGACGAGTGGCTCCAGAATCAATCCACCACTCCTTAGGATTTCCCACCAGATTGCATTCAGAAAGCATAGCACACAAGTCATCGATATCTTCGTGCTTTTCAACCATGTTTGCTTGACCCTTCTTCTTGTCTTTCTTTGGAGCATGACAATCTGCAGATCTGTGTCCAGCTTTGCCACAGTTGTAGCAATTTATGTTGAACCGCTTCTTGCTTGGGTTGCTTTTCGGTCCATAAGCCTTTTCCTCTTTCTATCCTCAACAATGTTTGCTCCCATTATTGTTGAGTTTCCATGACTTTTCTTTTCAGCAGCTTTGTTGTCCTCTTCGATTCTCAACCGAACA